TCCGGACACATGTTGCTAAAGAAAGTTATTATCCTTCTTATAACTCGGTTTACTGACGATAAAGAGAGATTAAAGCGATCTGATAAATCTCTAAAACAACATGCTTCGTGACCAGCAAACCATAAAAAAACAGCAACGTGAGCTTCTGAAGAAATGTTCAGCTCACTTACTCGCAGTGCAATAAAGTCGGTACTATTTTGAAATTTTATAGGCAAAGAATTAAAAAGGCTCCGCGAAATGCGGAAATGAGTTTTGAATTCCTTGTCGTCATATTTGCAAACAACATCTTGTATATAATTTTTTATACACACACGTTTTCTTTTTTTTTTATGTAATATCGAATACACCAATTCTACATCATCGTCAGAGTCACTATCTCGAAGTGTATTAACTACGTTATATTCTGGTTGTGTTGTGTTACTTAAATCACTATCACTTAATAAAATATTTATTATGTTTTTATCCATTTCAATATTTATTTATTACAGTTGTTACAATTAAAAATGCAGAATTTTCACAAATGCCGCGCAAACAAACAATACAAAAATTTGAATTCAAACCATAACAGCTGATTTACACATAAACACAAATTTTACTTCATATAAAATGCATGAGTAAAGTCTGTGTAACATTTTCAAATTTCGACAGGGATGTTACGCTCTCTCAGATGCTCTCATTTACTCACAAATTTGTCGTGGAACGCACTTGTGTATACACAGTGTTACTCAAAGTTACTATGTGTAGCTCGTGGGACAGACCTATTATACATTGTATTTGGCACACATTTTTAGCTTTAATATTTTAATCATTTAGCCGAAGTTTAGGATGTTTATTAAAAATAATATAGTGGTTCAATAATGTTACGCTATACAATATTTAAATTTTAAATAAATTTAATTTTATAAACACAGTATCGCTTACAAATATTACAGCGGCTTTCATTGTACATTGGATAATATTGATTTCGCTATCGCCGCGGACATTTTAAAAATCATTCATTAACTGTAGACAAAGCTGCCATTTTAACCAATATTGTGTTTGGAAGCAAGTTCGTTAATTTTCCGGGAGAAATAAACAATACTTAAACAAACTTAAATTTAGTGCTTCGAAATATTTTTCTGTTATTGTTTTTTATGTTTTTGTTTGTTATAATAAGGAAAAAATGTCCAGAAACGAAGACACCACAAAACGCAACGTGCTCTCGTTCATTAATGGACGCGAGCCAAGCATAGATCGTCGATTTCGTCCATGTCCGAAGAATATATTCAAAGCAATTGATATAGATAATATAGATGAATTAGATGATGATAGTAATTCAAATTTTGATGATGCTAGTACTGTAAGTGGTGACATATCGAAAACAAGTACTATTGGAGAAGATGGGGCCATGGTGTATCTACGACTGCGTCCTGTTAATTCTCCTTCATCGTCATATAAAATTGCAGGCAATGGAAATACTCTTGTGGTGAACCCACGTTTAGATCAAACAACGACAAGTAACAATAAAGCAGCAATGGAAAAACATTTTACCTTCAGCGCAATATTCGATAATAATGATAGTCAAAAGGGCGTATACAATAAGTGTATAGGTGACAAAATAAAATTGGAGGAAAGTTTCACAGTGCTGACTTATGGTACATCTGGTTCCGGAAAGACTTTTACACTTTTAGGTAAACTTCAATTAAAGTAAAATTATATGATTTGTATAAAAATAATTGTTTCTGTAGGCGATGACGTTAATCCTGGTATTGTGCCGCGTTCCATTGAGAATATTTTCACATTATACAATTCCAATATATATCCGCACCCAGCAGTTAAATTACAAAATGCTCGCGTAGTTATTTTAGATGATGAACTTTTAGCCAAGGAAATAATTTCAACTCGTCAAGTACTCACAGCTTGCGGAGATATAACCTCAGTACATAAGCAACTCCAACAAATCATATGCTCAGATCATAATTTTGAAACCACAGTTTTCGATGATGTGTCTGTTATGATTTGGGTGTCATTCGTTGAAATTTATAACGAATTTGTCTATGATTTACTGGAATTATCAGCATCTAATCAAACAATTACAGTGCCGTCTCGTAAGAATCTTAAAATTGTTAGCAACGACGGAAAAGTTTTCGTGAAAGGATTAACACAAGTTTATGTGAAGAATAGCTTGGAAGCCTTAAAATTGCTGCGCTTTGGCTTACAACGTGTCACTTACGCCTCTACTTCCATCAATTCAAACTCCAGCCGGTCGCATTGTATATTCATCATTGACGTGCTAAAGTACAATGCATCAGGTTTGATAACAGAAGTAAGTTATTTTATTATTTTACTATCATTCAAATGATTTTATCCATTATTTTTTTGTTTTGTATTTGAAGATATCTTATAAATTCTGTGACTTGGCTGGTTCTGAACGTCTTGACAAAACTGGGAATGTTGGTTCACGACTTAAGGAAGCACAACGTATCAATACATCGTTGATGATTCTGGGTCGCTGTCTTGATGCTGCTAATAATTTAAATCGTAAGAAGAATACTGAGGTTATTCCTTACCGAGAATCGAAACTCACGATGTTGTTGCAAGCTCCACTGTTAGGAAAGGAGAAAATTGCCATGGTGGTTAATGTTACACCCACTGAAAAATATTATGAAGAAAATTTAAATGTTTTGGGATTCTCTTCAATCGCTAAGAATATTATCTTCAAACCACCAATTGTGAAGCAAAATAACTCCAGATTTTCATTCTTTTTGGAATATTCCAAGGCCGGCAGTGCACAAAATGCCTACATAGAGCAATTACTCGAAGAAAATATTTTGTACGTTTTAAAATACGCTAACTCTTTTGGGATGTAATAATATATAAATTATTTATTCAAATAGGCTGCGTAGTGATAATAATCGACTGATAAACGAAGTAAATAATTTCCAAATTAGGATAAATTCTGAACTCTTGCGGCAAGAAAAAGAAATTCGAAATGAACTTGTGGACTCGTTTGAAAAAACATTGACTGCAACCAAGGAACAAGCTGAAAATCGTTTGAAACAGGAACTTGAATGTCAAAAACGAGTATTTGAATCAAAGGTGAGTCAAGTGCGCTATCAATTCAGATATATTAATCACATCAATAATTAAATTTCAATTTATAATTTTTAGTTGGCAAAAGTGAAACGAGCGCATATTGAACAAATTGAAGATTTGCGTGAAGAGTTACAAGAACTAAAAGAGAAAGAATGTCAAAAATATCCGAACAAACTCAATCCAACACTCGCTTTTAGTCCGCGGCAAGTTCAGGTATTACAAGCATTGCCAGAGAAGATGCGCGATAAAAGTCAAATCAAAATCGAGACAATAGATTCAATAGTCGCAGATCCTAGTCCGATAAAAAACGATAATTCGCATGAAGAATTACAAGACTTAAAAGAAAACATTTGCGATGAAATACCAAGGAAACGCAGGACATTAGAGAATATGGGAGCCTCGCATGAGGAATTTTTAGAAATTGAAAGACAGATTTACAATGAAAATCCAAACAAAGTGATTGTACTAGACGCCAATTATACGAACAAAATAGGAGAAGAATTAGAAAAAATGGAGGAGGACTCAAGCGATAAAAATCCTAACGAACTCAACACACTGGATGTTTAGCATTCGCAAAAAATGTAATATTTTTTTACGCAAAAAGAGAAACTGCATCCTATAATAATACAATCACGAAATAGTACTTGTAAAAGAGGATAAGCGTTTTTTTGTAATTTATAAGAATATTTCTAGTTTTGTTTAAGTAAATGTATTAGATTATATCAGTTAAAATTACACAATGTTTTTACTAATTTTTTTTTTAATTAAGTTAAATTCAGGCAATTACAAATAAATCAGTTTAAGTTTTAAACACGGTAGTAAGATTTTTCATCGCATTTAGATAGATGTATCAGATAGAGCTGAACATACTTGTATCATAAAGTAATATCCAGAAATAGATTAATTTTTTTTCAAATAAAGGTAAATGTCCATTAGACTGACTATTCCTTAAAGAAACAAGTTTAATTATATTGTTAAAAAAATATAAAAAAATGGTTAATTGATTAAAAACAAATTTATCTGCATGATACCCAATATACCACCAGTAAAGCTAAAATTAATTATTTTTCTAGAATTTTTTTATTGTATATTATGTTAAATTAGTATTATTTTGTTGTAAATTAATTAATAATTTAAGGCTTCATCGACTAAATGATGAGATAATTGCATTAAAGCCCACATAATTTTAATTTCTTTAAGTTCTTTATATGTTAAATACCTTATCTTTCAATATATAATTACTCGTATTATAAGCTTTTAAAAAAATAATAGTAGGAGAAATAGGAAGGAGTTGATAGTAGCTAGCAGCTTGACTCTCCCCTCCGTATGCACTCCATGTAACGGGCACTGTGTCTACCTGGCAATCTACATCACTTTTTTTTTTTATAAAATCCATTTTATACTTAAAGTATCAGATAATGAATATTTTGTTGAATAGATTGTTGTAGCAATTAGCCAAACTGGAAGCAAGCTCAGAAAAGGTTGATAACATATTGCACAATGGGCGGAATAGAGAAAGTAATGTGAAGATATAAAGGAGTAGAAATGAAAGTTTCGAGAATGGCCATGTCAACTTACCGGAACCACTCGTCAACCAAGTATCGTTCACCAGCCCCAAGCGAATATTACAAGCAGGTTCTAGCGTGTTAAAAAAAGGCAGGAATGACCATCTTTAAGGCATCTCTATGAATATCAGAGTGTCTAATAAACCAAAGAATTTGAATATCTCCTTTAAGCTGATATTTTGAAATTTTTTTAGTCAAGTGTAGACTTAGCTGGCTTACTAAAAGGGATAAAACCAAACTGATTCAGAATATGTGTACAGATTGTTTTCTCTGTTTTGATGTGGTGTTTAACAAAAGTCAGACACAACTCCAATACCTCAATTAAAATCCTACAATTATTTTTTACAGAAACAATTAAACTTCAAATCTAATGATATTTACTAAATATAATAATAACGATTACACAATAAATGTACTTAAAGTGAAGATTATTACATATCATCCTTAACTAAAAATAACTTAAGATTTATTTCTTGAAAAATGAAGATATGCTTTTTGTTCCCTTTGCGCTTTTGGCTAATGCTTTCTCCTTAGCTGTGAGTACGCGCTCCTTAGGTGCTGGTGCCTTTGGTACATCATTAACGATTATATTAGATTTATCATCATCCAGTGAGTCATCTAATAGGCTACTATTTTTTAATTTTCCACTAGCACTTGTATCATTCGTGTTTTCAAGTTTAATTTTTTTATTATCATTTGAATTAAGTGATTGCAAGGATTTTCGTTTATTTGCCTGTTTCTGCTCCTCAACGATGGCCTTTATTTCCGGTTGTATTTCAAAATATTTAGTGAGCTCGTCGTGTAAATCCAAGTCAATATAACCACCAACAATATCACACGCCATACGCAAATAGTCAATATCGTTAATCAGATCTTCAGCTGTTGAATTCTCGCTGGGAGTGTAATTATGTGACACGGCGCTCAGTCCGCAATAAATTCCTTTGCTTTTAAGCACATTCGCAATGTTTCGGGTTTTAAGCGCTAACCAAGCTAACGTTTTTTCTGCATTGTACTTATAAAACACCGTTTTGGAACCAGCTATTCTTTTAACATCAGCTACGCAACCTAATGTGTCTTTGTCTACAAAAGTCGTAAGCAGGCGAGAAGTGCTTAAATCTTCACTTTGCATGCAATGTAATTCCAGTGCTCTTTGGGTGCAATGCTTGCGTATATGATGTATTGCCAAAAATGTGACATCAATCGGTGTAGTAACATAAATACGTCCATTGGAACATACATTTGAATCTATTAGCCAACTTCGTCGTGGTTCAGAGAACTGTAATACTTCCATAATGATTTTATTGGAACATGTTATAAATAGCGCGGTAGTACCTTTGCCCGGATGAAAGAAGCGTTCCAATCGCAATTCATTATCGGCATTTTCCAGTAAAGAATCGGCAATATAAAATACTTTTCTTATAGATGATGCTTTAACCGTTTTATTGTCTTTTGTTGAATCATTTAATTTGGTTTCTGATTTAGAAGAACGCGTAGATTTTATTTCGCTCATATTTGCTAATAAAATTTCTTTGCATTTATTTTTGCGCGAAAATCTTGAAGTATGCTTTAATCATAAACAAAACCATTAACCGCTGTACAAAATCATGTGTATTCATATTAAAAAACATGTAGTGTCCTGCGGGAAATTAATGAGGTTCTCGCTTACATGAAACCGAACCGCTGTATGCTCATATACTGAGATCTATATTTCCATATCCTACAACAATATATCTAATATGCTGTTAAAACTATTTTCATTAAAAGAGTTTGTTCACAACAGTTCATTTTTTGAAAAAAGCAGTTCATTTCTTGAATTATTTTTTTATTAGGAATCCTATTAAGGCATTATTGCGTTTAATATTGGACTGCAATTGTATGTTTGTGTAAATACCATTAAACCATCGGTATTATTGTTATTTTATTGCAATTATTTAAGCAATATAATGTATGTTATAGAATTTTTTGCATGTTATTAAAATACCTTCATTAAAATTTTATTTTGCGAAAAGTTGCATTTGATCATGACAAAGTTCTTATTAATAAAAATATTTATGTAAGTATATATTATCGTTTTTTAATGCAAATAATATTTACTTAGATAATAAATAAATATAATAATTTAATAATAAAATTTTAGACTTTCATGTTTTGGTTATACTCTAAGTCGAATTAAATCCAATGTATTTCGTATTTGTAGTTATTCTAACTTATATATAATTAGTACTCCAATTGAATATAAATAGTTCCTACTATAAAATATAAAAAAAAGTTAACTTCAGCGTTTATTTCATCATGGAACGTTTAACGCGTAATGGGTCCATATAAGAATTACTATTCTAATAAGTCGACGGACTTATTTCATGTAAGAGTTTTAATTATTTGTGTATGTTTGTATATGACAAGCAGCAATATATATAGCAAGTCCCTTCTTTACAGTAAATGATTTGTGATGTTATGATTTAATTATAGTTCCTTGGATTTGTAAATGTACTAATTAACACTTATAGTTGATTTACAAAAATAGCAAATAATACTTCTTTAGCACATGATTTTGTTTACTTTACTATATCGCAAAATTTATTAATGAATACAATAGTTAAAGCATTTTTCTTGATTTTAATTGTATTATACAATATTCCCACTTTTAAATCAGTTTTATATGCAGATTGAACACATCCTATCGCCGCTGTAAATAATCATGTGCACAGTGGGTAACGTAGATGTTTTCTACCGCCAATGTTTTTAGATTAAAAAAATATTTGAATACTTGTTCAAATAATTTATATTTTTAGAAATATATTTTGTTTGCATATCGGATTTTGACAGTTCTGAGAGAAAAAAATAATTACTGCAGAAAGAAATGCAAGCGTTAGTTTTAAAATATTTCTGAGTTTTTGCTATTGATTACTTTTAAGCGAAAAAAAAATGTCAAAATACGGAAACTGTCCAAAGCGTAACGTTTTATCTTTCATTAACGGACGTGAACCAAGCATTGATCGGCGAAACCGTCCATTTCCATTAAACGTTTTTAAAGCAATTGACAATACAGAAGAATTTGGTACCGAACAAAGTATTGCAAACTCCGATAATACAAGTAGTAATGGTTCGAAAACGAATTCCATTGGTGAAGATGGCGCTATGGTGTATCTTCGCTTGCGTCCTGTTGAATGTATTTCGGAAATGTATAAAATTGTAGATGCAGGAAATACTCTCGTAGTAAATCCTCGTTCAGAACAATCAACGACGACCAACAGTAAAACTGCAATGGAAAAACATTACACCTTTACAGGCATATTCGACAGCAATGATAGCCAAAAGGATGTATACAACAGGTGCATAGGTAATAAAATAAAATTGGAAGAGAGTTTCACAGTGCTGACTTATGGTACATCTGGTTCCGGAAAGACTTTTACACTTTTAGGTAAACTTTAATTAAATTAAAATTATATGATTTGTATAAAAATAAATGCTTCTTTAGGTGATGATGATAA